AATACTAATCCTATATTGAAATAGGTAGAATATTATGTCTAAGCAACAACAATAGAATGTTCTCTTAGTGTTTACTGACTAAGTTCAATTCATCAGTAAGGAGAGAGAGAGAGAGAGAGGACCAAATGTAATTTCAAAATGGAGTATAAGAACATGAGGTCATGCAGACAAACAGAGAGACATGCAACATTTTATATCAACTACTCATACATACTTTACATGAGGTTATACTCTTACAGAAGACAGGGCAAAGTTCACAAAGTCAACAATGTCATAAAAGATATTAAAGACAAGAAAAGTGCAATACCAAACAGGTTTAACTCAGCCATATTAACTGAGAGTTCTGTCTAAACATGAGGCAATTATGTTTAGCTTAACAACAACTATCATTCAACTATAACAAACATAACTATGACCTATTTTTGTAAAAGACAATTTGATATTAATGGAATATTGGTCGATGAGTTACTAATGTTCATGAGAGTTCACCTCAACAAGACTGTTTTCATATGATGCAACCAGTAGTTAGATATGAACATAATAATGTCATGGTGACAACCCAAAAGTTGCTCTCAGAATTAACAGATATAGATATAGAGAAGTAGAGTACTTAAACACTTAAAATTTTCATGCTTCAGTTAAGTGGTGAATAATTAAACTATGTATTCTCAGGTTTATCCTAATTAGGATTATCAAATAATAATCTCGATCACAAGACAAACAGAATGTAGGAAACAATGTGTAGAGATAAAGATCACATTAGAAATGGAAACTATGAAGTCTAGGTAAACATGAGAAGTCATTAAGACACATTAAGAATACTTAATCATGTAGATTGTTTGGATTCCGAAATGAAAGTCTTTGAGGTCACATAACAGCTTAATCAACACTAATTGAAGATACTTAGTAACATGACAAGTGATTACAGGTTAAAACACTTTATCATGAACTAAAATAACATTCGAATACAGTTAACAGAAGGCAACAACATGTTCATGGTATTTAAGTAAGGCAATCTAAGAGAAAAGGGTGAAAAGGTACCAACCTTTTCGAGGGCAGCGGACAAAGTAAGACTTTGTAGCCGTTTAGGATTCAAGAATTCAAAACCTTAACCAATGAGTAACTCAAAGCAAAAACAGAAATCGAGTAAGAACTTAACCTTAGTCAAAAAATTCTAAAACACTACTATATTGATTTTTCTGCTTTTGTTAGGTGTTCTTGGTGTTGTCTTTTTTTTCTTTTTGGTTGTTCCTGCTAGGTGAGAACATTAAAGCCCCTATTTATAGTTTCATTTAAGGCTCTAGGATTTCAACAGATTCAAAATCATGAGTGAAAGATGAAGGATGGTAGATGATATGAGAATGATTGAGTGAAATCGAAAAGAAACAGAGGGGAAAAATAGTGTTGAATTTACCTGAGCATGAGGAGGCCGACCGTTGAAGTCTTTGGACCAGCGGTCAAACCCTAATGTCCAGAGGTCACTACGTTTGACCTCTGGACGTCGAATACACATGATGAACCCAGAGAAAGACTCCATACATGCTCCGATTTGATAACTCGTGAGGGAAATCAGATGATTTGAGGTTTTCACTTTCGAGCTTAGGATTTCAGATTTTGGGATTTTGAATTGTAAAGATCGAATTGGAAATGTTGAGGCGAGATTTGATGTGTAGCAAGGACAGAAAGGATGATTTTGAGTGATTTCGAGTGACCTTGCAAAAATTTGTGCAAGCTTCTGGAGATCGATGTGTTGATGGGGATGAGAGAAAAGAGATAGGAAAGGGAAAGAGGCAGCATGGGAGGTGGAAAATTATTAGGGTTTGGAAGGTTTAAAGATCGTCTGAGTTTAGAACGGGAGATGGAACGGGAGCCATTAGATCTGTTGATCAACAGCTCCGATTGTTTCGATATTTAGGGATTTTAGAATTAATTCAATTGGAAAAATTGACGGACGTTCGATCTATTTGATCTGAGGGTATAGATTAAGTCTTATATTGACAAATAGAAAATAAGGATTAAACGCTGACCGTTGATAAGATAGATCAATGGTCCAGATTTATTTGTGCTTTCTTTGTGAGTGAGAGAGACGAGCGATGTGGCACGTGGTGATTGGTTCAAATTTAATGGCAAGGATTGCCAACATGGATTGAAGGGGTTGTTTGGGTTGGGTATTTTCGGACTGAGCTCGCACATTTGGGCCAAAATGAATTTAAAAGGTGGCCACTTTTTTCGTTCAGAATTGCAATTGTAGCCTTTTGTCTTTTAATCTCGTTTGAAATTAATTTAAATAAACTTAACTAATTTCTAATAAAATATAGTAAAATCGTAATTATCATATACTACTAACTATTGCAATTATTTAAAAAATGTTTTATCTTCTAAATTATAACACTAACTTCGAATTATTAATATAGTGACCTATTTAATTAAAATTGAGAAATGACTCATTAAATTAATGATAAAACTTATATGGTGCATTTTATTTTAATAATCTAAAAAATAATAAATATATTTATAACTACATAATATTGATGCCACGTGACTATTTTCGAAACTAATAGTTAATTAATTTGTAGTAACATGTATTTATTACTAGAAAATACTCTCAAAATGTTTATTGTAAATTATTAAGTATAAGTAAATTAATTTTAAAAAGAGAGTGTCAAAATTGGCCGTCAACAGCTGCCCTCTTTGACTGGAGACGATGAAAGAGTTTTCGGGCAAAAAAATGGAACCAAAGCTAATTTTTGTCCCGACTTTAGGTATACATTGCAGGAGTGGCATGAAGATTATGAGTTGTAGGATTGAGTTAAGGAAGATTCTGAGAAGATATTGGGAAGAATTTTGGATAGATTGGGGCCGAATTCTGGCTTTGAAGCGCTTACATACCTCGGGATTAACGAGGATCATGCCTCATGTAGTTCTGGAGTGAAGATTTCTTTGGAAGCGGCATCATAGGAATTACCTCAGTATCGTATTACGACGATACGGTGATACGGAGGACTGGGAACTCTTGATAGCTTGAATTTTGCAGCATGATTTGAAGGATTTGAAACTTTTGAGTTTCAGTAGTTCTTTTGTGCTTGAACTTGGATCCTTGGCCCATTAATGGGTTTGTTGTCCCTCATAGCGCTATAGTTTCGTCTTCTGCTTAGAAAAGTTCCACGTTGCGGTATTTGTTCTTGCAAAACAAATGAAATACATGCATACCAATATATTGCAATGCAGAATATATTAAGAGGCGATGTAAATGATGCTGGAATGATGATGCATGTCTGCCGGTAAGCCATTATTTGAGATCAAGATGATGGGATACTTGATCTTAACTCAATTTGTTAGCCGGGCTGTGTACCAGTGTGCATCTATCACAACATTTGAAAATTGTCACCGCTAGCTGGGAGAGCTTGATTTGTAGTGTACATCTCCGCTTGTTGGGAGAGCTTTGCACTGAGAAATGTCTCCGCTTGTTGGGAGAGCTTGATTTGTAAAGTGCATCTCCGCTTGTTGGGAGAGCTTTGCACTGCGATGTAAAGTAATCTCCGCTTGGGAGTGAAATAACTTAATCATGCATGAAGCTGCATGATCAAAACGTCAAATCATTTAAAGTAATAGCAAAGGAAATAAAAGCATGCCCAAGAGATACTCTTGATTGCGAAGCTAAGTTGCGGCCATCGATTGGCAGAACATCGATTACGAGGTTTGTGACTATCTATTCCAGGATCTGTTGCGATGGAGTGGCGATGCGAATTGCTTTCATTGGCAAAGTTTGCAATTTGCTATATACAAGGCTCCAATTGACAAAGCCGACGTTCGATTAGTACAGGGCGCTTCGATTGATTGAGCTGGCGATTTGCTATATACAAGACTTCAATCAGTGAAACCGATGGCTCGTTTGTACATGATGCTCCGATTAGTTGAGCAGGCGGTTTGCTATATATAGGGCTTCCATTGATGAAGCCAATGGTCCATTTTGTACAAGGTGCCCCGATTGTTTGAGCAGGTGGTTTGCTATGTACAGGTTTTTTCCCTTATCAGTGGTCTGACTCCAAGGTACCTACAAAGGCTTCAATGATTAGCCCTAGCTGTACCAAAAAATTCAAGTAAATGAGAAAGAGAGATAATCTTAGGCAAGTGGCGGATCCTTCATTTGCCCATGTGTGGTCTTAGTTCTTCCTTGCTCCTTAATGACCATGCACTTAAAGAAAAATTCTTAGTGGGGCGGGGAAGTTGGTTTGTGTCGACCATAGTGTTGGTTTGCCCCGGCCTCTGGTATGGTTACGCCGCAAAGTTTGATAGGTGGAACAGATCACTGCATTTTCGGAAAGCATTTTGACAATACTTTGTAGACAAATGTAGTTGTTCCGGATTATGACATGTTACGCAAGTTCTCCACATGCAAGCGTATCTTCTTGAAAATTCCGTCCTATTGATGTCGATCTTCTTTGATGCTTCTAACAACGCGGATGCTTGACATTGCGACTGCGTACTAAATCTAACAATGCATTACAAAGGCTTTACAAAGTTTATGACCGAACCCTTTCAGGTTGCCCACGTATCCAAAACAAAATCAAGTCTTAACGTAGTTTGTGGATTATGATAAAATATGATGAAGATGACCGAGCCTGACTCAGGCAGCCTACGTATCCAAATGGAATAAGGTCAAGACGTAGTTCGATTACAACAGATGCAAAATGATGAGTTCAAGAATGAAAATGGCTGAGTTTGACTCAGGCTGCCTACGTATCCAAATGAAGTCAGGCCAGAATGTAGTTCGATTACACAAAATAACTTAATCCGATGAGGATTTCCTACGTATTCCTTTCTAAGAAAATCAAGGCAGTGTAGTTCCTGAGCAATATACAAAAGTGATATTTGGTTTTTTTATTACAAAAAAGAAGGGGGGAGAGAAACCAAACCCTACGTGGGTTGCCTACGTATCCCTCCGTGGGAAGTCAAGTTGAACGTGGTTCTGTTACATCAAAACCTAACTCTATTTGTCTTCAAACATAATATCTCTTAATTGCGTCTGAGTTGATGGGCTTCGTGTTGATTCTTCCATCCATTTCTGCCAAGATTAGAGCTCCACCCGATAGTGCTCGGTGAACCACGTAAGGACCTTGTTGGTTTGGTGCGAACTTTCCTTTGGCTTCTTCTTGGTGGGGAAAGATTTTCTTCAAGACCAACTTCCCCGGCGTGAATTGGCGAGGTTTCACTCTCTTGTTAAATGCACTGTCCATCCTGTTATGATATAGATGACCATGGCATACTGAATCCATTCTTTTCTCCTTGATGAGCATGAGTTGCTCCTTTCTGACCCATATCCATTTTGCGCCATCCAATTTTTCCTCTTGAATGACCCTTAAAGATGGTATTTTAACCTTTGCGGGTATCACAGCTTCAGTGCCATATACCAACATGTATGGTGTTTCCCAGTGGATGTTCTCATAGTGGTCCAAAAGATAGTTTCTCGTGCCATTGTCTGTGATTGCCCACTATCTTTCATAGAATCCTCTTGATATTCTTGTTGGCTACCTCGACTGCCCTATTCATTTGTAGTAAGTAGGTTGTGGAATTGCAATGGACGATTCTGTACTTCTTGTAGATTTATCTCATGAGATCGGTGTTGAGGTTAGCGGAATTTTCAGTGATGATAGAATCCCGTATTCCAAATCTACAGACGATGTTGTTCCGGACGAAATCTGCCACTACTTTCTTTGTGATATCCTTGTAAGTAGACGCTTTGACCCAGTTACTGAAATAGTCGATAGTTACCAAGATGAAGCGATGCCCGTTTGATGCGGCAAGCTCTATAGGTCCAATCATGTCCAGGACCTAAGAGGCAAACGGCCAAGGTGAACACATTACGCTTAACTCATTTGGCGGAACCCAGATGAAATCCTCGTAAATCTGGCACCGGTGACACTTCTGTACGTAGAGGATACTATCATTTTCCATAGTCATCCAAAAATATCCAACTCTCAAGATTTTCTTGGCAATGGTGAACCCATTCATATGGGGTCCGCACGTTTGTCGCGCCCCATTTTTCCCTCCCTGCGTCGGGAGAATCGGGTTTATGACATTTGGGTATGGGACAACTCATTCCTTTTGGGAACTGGGTTTTGCATTTTTGAAGAGTCGCCACCTAATGATTTATGGTACATTAGGACACCTATAAGGTTTGACTACAACTACATTTTTTGATAACCAGAGATAGGGTAAGGGCTTGAAATTATCCCAAGGGGAAGGTGTTAGGCACCCCTCAAGATCTACTAGTCTGGTTCCCGGCCAGATAGTTCTTTGTGAATTTCGTGAAATTAACACGTAAGCAGATAAGGCTCAAATAAGAGGGGATTTTAATACACAAATGCTATGAAGTTAAATAGGGAAATCATTAAAGGCTGATTTTTGAAAAGAAGTCATAATGCTTTAAAGGCAAAGAAAGAGGGGGGGGGGGGCCTT